CAGCACTGCGCACACGTTTATTAAACTATTTACACATTTGTCGCTCCCGTAATATTAATGCGAAAGAATATATTGTTTTCGGTGTCAATACTTACGAACAATGCAAAATTTAACATAAATATACCTACGCGTTATGAAATATAACTATTGTTGATAAATTTGTTTTTATAGATTTGCTCATCAGTTATTTTGTGTCCTCTTTAACGGAGCATTAGTATTATAGTTATTTAGTACATTATAATATTTAAAATCTCTTAGAACAATAAATATAGATATTCATTTATAACATAAAATGTAACGCCGAGACTAGTTTTTAATTCGATAAATACAATTTTCTTTTTCTATTCGAGAATTATATGTTTACAATTATCATAAATATAACTCATTAATTTTATACATTTGAATTTGATTGCACATAATTTCTGAACAGTGTCGGATATACTTATTCATTATAAGTAAAAATTAAAATAGGTACAATGGTCATTCGAAGGTATAATAGTCTTGTAAAACTTGTTATCGACATGCAATGTATAATTATTTTTGATAAATTTGCATTTAGTATACAGTAGGATTGAGTTTAACGGAATCTTCTTTCTTGAGTTGTTTTTTTTTTATACATATACATTGCTGAAAGTTATGTTGAATTTTTCTCTTTTTTCTAATTATAAATATAAACATTATATTTTAGATCCATAACTATGGGCGGATGTAATGAATATTGTATGCACGCACTTACTCTGGAAATAAGAACATATAGATGTACATAATAAACGGAACAGACCTAATACAAATAAAATATCTTTGCTCTGTTCGTTGAAACTACTACCGTACTAGTATTTTAGTATTCAATACATATAATATAATATAATATGTACATGATGTATACTGTGAACTTATATAATACGTATATATACGAAACTAAAAAAAATATATATGAAACCTTGTCTAACGTAAAGTTCTTGTAATAATTAAATATTGAATGTATGTTACGTGTATGGTAAATGTGATATTGTCATTTCGTGATACATTATGCATATAATATCACTGTTGGTAATACCGGGGATTATTATTATATTGTTAAAAAAAATTATATATTATGGCCGTGTATATTATAAGTAGGGTTCTTTGGTCTTATATCATTTGCATACTTATACTGCAGAATGTACTAAATAAAAGAGCTAAAAAAAAACACGGAAAAATGATTTATTAAGAGGAACGCCACACCAAAAGTAAAACGTATACAACGACCGATGGAACGCGCTATTAGGTGTTTTCAAGAAGCGCAAGCACGCGAACCCGTACATCGACACGCCCATCATTCGTAGCCGTTATATATTTCATAGTACGAAAAATAGAAACTTTAGTTTTCATACTTCAATCATTTTTTTAATACCAATATACGTGGCATACTTAACAATTTGAAATTACAATTCAGTAATATTTTTATGCGTTTCAGTTTTTAATTTAATACTATATTACTTTCCGAAACGTACTACGTTCAACTCATGATCAAAAAATATATTTATATATGAAAATATACTTGAGTCCGTATGTGATCGCGTAATTTAAAAAAATAGATAGTGTTAACAAGAAACACCAATCCATAAACGTTATTTACCAAACATAATTTTCTCTATATCAACCATATTATTTTTTAAATTTATTAGAAAACTAATATTATTAAATAATAAATTTAATTATTTTCAATAAATTGTATTACTTACTTTATTCATATCTCCTATGCTCTGACAAGACCACAAGAAATGACCTTTCTAATCATGTAATCCATTGTTCTGTAATGATATTATAGCTTTAACTTCGTAATGATAATCTGAATATGAGAAAAGTGAATCAATTTTTTCAAGGGCGTATTTGAGGGGGGAAGGGGGCTTCGCCCCCTCATGGCTCGTATATTTTTTTTTTTTTAATTATAATACATTGATTTAATTAAAAAATGTAATGTATAAATAATTAAGAATATAAATTACTACTCTATCATTATAATATGATAATAAATTCAATAATATGTCAATTAAATCATGGATATCAATTTTTGTTTATCTTCTAATATCATAATATCATTGGTTTTGGAACGAATAATAGTATTATCTTCCACAGATATTGCTACGGTTATAGACATTTATAACCATAACCGAGGTATTTATCAGATAATATAAAGTAACTTAAAGTAACACTTTTTTTTACCACCTATTACTAGTTAATATTTATATAATAAAAATATTATTAATATTATATTATAATTATAATGTATAAAAATAATAATATAAATAAATAAATATATTAATATTTATATTTACTAGTTAATCATTTTTTGGTGCATTTATGCATGTTGTATATTTTTATATTTATTAGAGCTACATAAGTCCTTAAAAATTTTACTCGCCTATTTTTTCTTTTACAACATAATATCTGGTACTTTTTTTTATGCATAGGTACTTATTGATTTTTTCTTGTGTACAAATGCATGCATAGTTGTGTATTTTATAGAGCTAGAAGCCCCTAAGCCAAATAATAATCATAATAACTGACAATATTTGTTTCCAAATTCTTTAACTTATAAATATTGGACAAAAATATATTTTTGTAGATTGAAAACATGTTTAAGATCAAGAATAGACCAATATAGACTAACAGGTTGAATTTTGCTGCATGTGAATAAAGATATTATTGTATCCATTGATGAACAATCAACAAATTTGTCAAAATGAAAAAAAGAAATTTGTAATTTGTTATTTGGCTACTTACCAACCTTATGTTTTCTACTTAGATATTTGTTAAATTAAGTTACCTATCTTTAAATATATCTTAAATAATTTTTAATTTTTAAAGTTTTTAAAAAATAATTAAAAAGTACTATTACTAGGTACTATGTTTATTTGTTATTATTTTTATACAGGATTCAGACTGAAGGTACAATTTTAATATAAGAACTATTTGTGTTGTTATTATTAATACTTATTTTATATGCAGTAGGTTTTAAATATATAAAATAAATATTTAATTCAATTTGGTACTTGTATTTTTATTTATTCACTCGAATAAGCAACAGGAACATGAGCTGTAGATAATGAACTGTGAATTATTTTTAAGTTTGTATTGAAGAAAAATTAGTTACCCCCCTCAGTGGTGTAGCCAGGATTTTTAAATTGGGGGGGAGGGCTAACCACTTTTTTGGATAAGTAAGGTAAAAGAGGATATGAGAATTCACCCTTAACCAAGTTTCTAAACGTATTTCAAGCATTTTAGTAAATTAAAACGAACATCCATTAATTCTATTAAATAGTCAAGATACATTATACATATAAACACGGCCCATGTGGGGCTTTAGCCCCATTAGCCCCCCTCTTGGCTACGCCACTGTCCCCCTCCCATGGCCTCAACTCAAATATGCCCCTAAATTTTTTGAAGACAATGGTTAAAAATGATTCCGAAACTTGATTTGTATTTATTTCGGTTTATACTTTGATAAATAAATATCGTTTCATCATCTTAAATTGTATAACAATTAAAATTAGTTATTGTACGGATTTAATACCGATGATACAAAATAGTAATACTAATAGTAAATATTTACTTTTAAAACTATATGAAAAATTAATTTAAAAATAGAAAAATCATTGAAACTTTAACTTTTTTTAGTATTATAGAAATATTATTCTACACAGAATAAATCAATTTGCTAAAAATATGATAGTAAACAGATAATCGTTAGTAGTACAGTACAAATAATTCATTAATATCTAATTTTAAGAAATCAATAAAACTATAAATATAAATTAAATATATTCAATATATTTGGTTTTGTAGTTGTATAATTTATATCGAATATTAATAGGAAAAGAATTGTTCGTGACGGAAACAAAATCTATCTGTTAAATCGTTCATTGTGTGTGTGTGTGTGTGTATATATCTTTTAAATATCCAGTTACACGAATTATTGATACGACACACCTTGCACCAAGTATCAAATTTTAAGATCAATTTTACTCATATTATTATTATTTTTTTTATTAAAATACTAAAATATAAGCATAAGATAATCATAACCAGAACTCGGAACATCATGTATTTGCATATTTCTTAGAAAGCTGCATATTCAAAATCTGTTTAGATACAAACTCGTTTCATGATTCATACAATTGAAATACAAAAACTTATGTTGCATATTTTTGCATATTTCACTAAATTTAAATAATTTCACATATTTAAAATTGTTAAGCTTATTAATTCATATTATACTTATAATTTATTACAAATTAACAAATTTTTAATTGTTGAGAATTGTAAATTAAATAATTTAAAAATAATTAACTACCACACATGTAGCATTGTCTATATTTGAAATGTTCTATACCGAGTATTAATTGTTAATTTGTTACCATCGGTCTGATTTAAATTAAAATATTTTCAAGAATAAAATATTTATATTTAACTAGAGTTGTAACTACTGCCATTAGCGACGCGTACAGCCGTAGTAACTTTTACTAAGAATTAAGAATTGGTTGAAACTCGAAATCTTCACCGCTCGTTTGATTAAATTAGAAATTAGACAAAATAGGTACCACTAAATCAATAATATTTGATTGTGTTGCACTGAAGTGTATGTGTGCATACGAGCATCAAAAACACATTCGTGGGATTGCCCCACCAACACAAGTATTGCCAGGGCACGAGCGACCTGTGCGACTGCACAGGGCAGCATTTTTTTTAGAATTTTAGAAGTGGTATCATTTATAATTAAAAATATGTATTTTTCATCATTTCTCATTATATTTATTCATTGCAAATCCGAAATAATGCATATTATATTATTTTGACTGGTACTGTGTTATATTATATTATTTAGTATCGAAAAATACCTATTTATAAACAATATAATACAGAATAGTCGCTAGATCGGCGCAATTCACGATTATCTTTACGGTTTCTAGATAATGTTCTCCAAAAAAGTATGTACAATAATAATTTTTATCAGCGATAAAAATAGTTTGCTTATGACGAGTACGATAATACGTAGTCTATTGATTGTATATATTTTACCATACATTTGTATATACAATTTAAAAGATTTTATTTTAACCATTCGTCAGGGAATTGTTAAAGACGACAATCATAGGGTGCTGCGTATATTTTTAATATATCATCTTCGTCATTTTCTTATTCGGTGAGTAATTTCCTATTTTAAATAATTTAACAATTATTGTTATTATTAAGTGAATAATTATTTCAATACAATAGAAAATTAAAAATACTTCCTGATGTCTGACTTAAAATTTTGAATGTACGTAACCTACATATGAATTCATTGATACGAGTATTTTATCTAGGCTATTAACAAAACGGATTCTTAATTTTCAATACACAAAACTTTAAAATTGATACTTTATTTTTAAAATTCTGTGTAATTATTCCATTAATTTGTACCAGTTCAAAGCTGTCTTGGTCTGTGCCAAAGCATTATTTTGTTGTTTATTATATATATATTATTCTATATATTGTTTTGGCCATTTTATCAATATTATTGTTTTGTAAAAATGTATTATTTTCATACATAGTATTCGGTGGCGCAAATCAGTGGCGGCTTGAACTTTTTTTTTTCTTGATACACAATTAATATTTTTACATCACCCACCACGGCATTTTTTAAAGAATTTTCACTAGGTGATCAGAATAAAATTTGCATTTTTAATATATGAAATGTACAATATAAATAGTGTATTATAAATCATAAAAACCTCTTAGATATAATATTTTATTATATTTTATATGACATATATTATAAATTGGTAGTTCATAGTTCTTGATACACAATAGCACGAGAACCCGAACCGCCACTGTATATTAATATTATTTATTCTAAAAATATAACCGTGTAGATAACAAGGAAACTTCCCTAGAAAGTTTTGTTATCTATGGTCATTGTGTCATATATACCTAAATTTAGCGATAGACGATTATTCGAGTACAGAGCGTGTGAGAAGATATATTGTATCCTTGGTAAAATATTATTAAAATTTTTATTTAAAGTTTTTATTTTTGAACATTTGTAGTAAATACTAAATTCATACTAAATATTTTTTTTCTATACCTATGGAAAGTATTAAAAATGTTCTCATGGCCAAACATTGACGATTGGGTGGCCACAAAAGAACACTGGGTCAGGGGCGTAATTAGACTGACTTCTATGGGGGGAGGGGGTGAATTAAATTTTTTCTTTAATTCAGGCTCAACATTTACAAGTAAAATTTTTAGTAATATTTAAATCAGATGAATCCTAAATATTTGTTTTTTTTTTTTCAATCTAATGCCGGATCCTTTTAGAATAGACTTTTGTGTAGTTCTTTTTTAACACCTATCTGTGTTTTGAAAGTTTTGCTAGTAATTTATTTGATTTTTCACTAAGTATGGACTAGGGCTCAAATCAAAATAATATATATTGTTTACCGTTATGGGACATTTAAACGTTATTCAATTTAAGAGTTTTAAGCATTTAATACAAAATAAAAAATTCATTTAAATACGTTCAATACGTTATACAAATTTAAACGTTTAAAAAATTTTCCGTTTACCGTTATTGACAATTAAAACGTTATGAACAATTTAGAGTTTTGCATTATTTAAATTAGAGTAAAATTTAAAACGTTTTCAAATATAGTATTTAGCAATCAATACTATGTAAAATAACATTACATATTTTAAATAATAAATTATATATATTACCTTTAACCAGTGGTGTATCGGCAAATATATTTGTGGGTATACACACTAAAAAAATATGGATATTAATCCTAAAATAAATTTTCTTGCTTTGCCCGACAATTATTTTCTTTCGATACGTTCGAAAAAATTGAATTAATACTTTGTAACTACATGTTTATAACTTCTATTAAGACTATGAAATATAACACCACAAAATATACATTTGCAGCGCGTTATGAATTGCATAATGCAGCTGAATGTTCACACTCCATACTATTTTATTCAATGTTATTCACTACAGATAACAAAATACATTAAGCACAGCGTAAACTGTAATCTTCAACAGGTAAATATTTGAATCAATTTCATAGTTTATAATAATTTTTTCCAATGAATTATTAAATTATTATTATTATTTTTTTTTTGTTTGCAAGTTATTGTAGAAGCATATACTTGTAAAATAATATTTTACATTAGGTATACGCCATACGCCGTATACTCGTGTATACGTACCAATATACTCCTGCCTTTAACGATATTTTCTTTTTGTAATTCTTATAATTCATAACTTATAAATAAAGCAATCATATTTGTTGTATAACAACAATAAAATGCACATACTATATAAAATATGTATTTATTGTCAACTTATAACTTATGCATGATGTATTACTATTAATGTTTCATCGGTTTTCACCGAAATTATTTTTGATGAGGCTGGCCATACGGGTTCCGCGCCGACAATATCCGACGTATTTAGTTAGTTATAACCAAGGCTCGGAACTTTATGCGCTAAAAAATACTAAAATATGCGTTAAAAACATCAAAATATGCGGTATAATATGCAGTAAAAAATTGGAAAATAATTGCTTAAAAATTAATAAACTGACTACTGACTAGTGTACAGTGTACAATGAAATCACTTGCATGCAGATGTATGCAGTATTATAACGAACAGAAATAATATTGTGTATAATCGAAAAACCTAATGGTTAAACATAAATTTTTACGAATTACCTATGGTTATACAATTTGTATATGTCGTGTTACAAAATATTAATACAAAGGTAAATTTGTATAAAAATAAATACGGGCCGGCGGTGGTCACTATTACGAGTTCTCGGTACTATAAAGATTATAATATTATTGTTAAGTGCAATGGGAGCCGAAGCAATAAAAATAATAGCCGTTGATAAATTAATTTATTTTGTCAAATGATATAAAACTTAGAATTTTGGTTGTCATAATCACCCCTGCACTGGGTGGTCTTTTGGACATAGTAACAATTACCTTAAAAAATACCCTGTCACCCACCCTAAAAAAATTATCACTGCTATCCAAAAGGTGAATTCATAGGTTTTTAATAGATAAGTAATAGGTAAATAATTGTAATTAATTTGTGTATACAGTAAATATATACCCCAATATCACCCCTAAACCAATTATAGTTATATTATATGACAAATCAAACCACCCATTAATATTTTTGTGAATCACGCAATTCAAATATACCTCCTTTAAGCCGCCACTGGCGCAAAAAGAAAAAATGTTTAAGGGGAGTTCAAGCCCCCAGCAGTTTTTTTTAATTTAATAGTATTGGTATTTCTATAATTCGGTTAAATTAAAGTGCAGTAGATAATTTATACATATTATAACATACTTACAAATATTTTCTCAATAAATAAATAAATACATTTTGTTCCTAATAATAATAATCAGAATTAGGATGTTGATGACCTTTAAAACAACATAAAAATTCCCTAAACAGTCTAAATAATGAATATCAAAAATGACTAAAAAATCTATTTAAATAAGTGAAAACAATTGAAAATTAAAAATAAATTTATTATTGGAGGAATAGGCGTGATAATGGGTGTCTGAGTACCTTAAGCTTATTTCAAAAATGTATAACACTGAAATAACATTGATAATTTGTATTTTTATTTTTATTAAATAAAGGTATTATTGTGCCTTAATTCAATCTACTTATAATTAATTAAACTTCCCTAAGTATTTTTTAAATTTTCGGTAGACGAAATTTTATAATTTGATCTCCTAAAATATAACCCAGTTTGTAATTAATTATGTTAATTTTGTATAAATAACTATGTACTAATTTTAGGATAACCATTTATTGAAAGGGGAGGAATTTTTTTATTTGCACGGGGTGGCAAAATACTTAGCACCAGCCCTGAGTATTGCAATTTTTTTTAAATCTGTGATGTTATTTTGCAAGTTATTTGTAAGTATTTGCAAGTCGATTCTTAGAATTTGCAACTCCAAACAATCACCGTGATATCAAAAAAATGTTTTAATTTAATGATATTTATTAAAAATTGGATACACAATATTTTTTGTTTTTCCTTCTGGTGCGTACACAAATAAATCAAGTTTTCCGATGCGTGAGCAAACCACATTCACATATACACTCTAGGTGCACACTAAGGTGTGTGTCAGTGAGGTTCTTTTCTGTTTTTTCGGTGTTATAACAACAAAACAAGGTTAGGTAATTTAAGAAGGCATAAGAGACATACAAACATTCTCTTTTATATATTTAGATAACCATAAGTTTTCATTTGATAGCCTCTTCAAAGTTACTTTGAGGCTACCTTGCAATGACTTGTAAATTTTAAGGAGAGACTTGCAAATTAAAAACCTAAATTGCTATCATTTTAAAAGTTTTGGGACTAAGTGTGCTAACTTCTTAACTTTTTAAGTTCTAACTAGCTCCCCGGTAAACTTGTGAATTCTAAAAATGGACTTGCAAATAATTGTTAATAAATAGCTTTCGTTTTGTGCTAAAATTAGTAGGTCAACTTTCCAACTTCTAAATTGTATAGTAGCCGACTGAATTAATGGCAAATTTTTATTAATCACTAATTTTCGTTTGGTACTGATTTCAAAATTCTAGGTCAAAACGGGTGGATTAGGTACGTGATGTTGGCCCAATTTTTCATTTTTTGGTTTCATGATACAAGTTTGGACTTATAAATTCTTAAATCTGACTTTCAAATACTTGCAAATAACTTGTAAATAATGGCAAAAATTTAAAAAAATTACAATTCTTAAATGAACCAATTCACAAACGTGTTTTCGACGCACATGTACACATAGATAACGAAAGATCATTTTCTGTTAACAAAAACCTTCCAAACCACAACAGACGATAAATTAAACTAGAAATCATTAAAAAACATATTAACGTGGTTTAATAATCGTTCTATTTGATAATTTTTACTTTTTTTAAATTGAGGACTTTGGGAATAAAATGATTCAGGGTTCAGTTCTCTGATCTACAAGAAAAAAATATACTTAAAAAAATACATTTTTTTTTTTATAATTAAGCTATATATTTTATAGTAAAAATAATTGTATACGAATATACTACATATTTTCACTATTTTTAGTGCATATGTATGTACGTATTTCATTGTTTTTAGCGCATAAAGTTCTGAGCCTTGGTCATAACAAAACATGTAGTATAACAAATAGTTTATACTTTTATTATAACCTTGCTCAAGATTAAATTAAGCTAACATTAAATATATGTATTCAAATGTATAAATTAATTGTATAATTTACATAAGTAGTGCACCATTCATAAAAATGTATATTATCTGAGTCAACAATTTCCTTCAATACATTTTGATCTTCATCATGAGATAAATTTACATGAATTAATATTGACATTTTAAAAACTAGAAGATATAGGTATATTTGTAAATTGTCTGAGTATATTTTTACTTTATGGGGCACCTTAAATTTTAAAATATTTTTTTTTTTTTAGTTTTGTATATTTTCAACGCTGAATACGATGATGTAAAGGAAAATTGGCGCTAATTATTAGTTACAGTCATTTAAAGTTGACAGTTTTGTTTAAATAACCTATGTGGATTCATTGTTTAAATCTATGACGTGGAGCAATGGATAACATGGTCTTACAAGTACAGAGGGAGGTACTGGGTTCAAATTACAAGAATGTTGTTGAATGTTTTAGCAATTTTTTTGTTACGTTAAAATCAGTATGAAAATATAATATTAAGTGTATTATTATATTTGTAGTATTTTACTTTTTTTTCCTGTGGCCTACTTGGGGTGATGTTGAATAGCAAATCGAGTGATATTTTCGTTTATAACATTCCGAGCGAGTGAGCCCGCTCGGTTTCGAGGTGCAGTAGAAAACTTCTTTTTACCCAGTAACTTACTGAGGTGGTGTTGACTTAATATAAAATGTTAAGGTTATTCGGCTTTAAAATTATCGTTCTCAAAAAAAAAAAAAAAATGTTACCTGTGTGGGGGGATTAAATTCGGTTACGTAGATAAATAATCGACGTTACTATCACTGCGCAACACTTTTAATCATTTTTAATGATGCATAATAAGTATTTAAGAGTTTTAGTATAAAACTATAAACTTTAATTAACTATAACTTCAAAACTAAGTTCTTGCGCCAAATTATAATATAATCATCATTTTTTTACCCAAAATATGACTAAGTTCTCCCAAAAAATTTAAAAAATGTAGGATGCCCCATAAACTAGAAATGTTCCATTGTATGTAGTGGAGTTCTAGGCAGAGCCTAGAATGTAAAGCCTCTTTGGCTATACAGGTGTTTTTGGGTACACAAAGTTTAGTGGCCGTTATAGAAGCAAGAGTACAATTATTATAATTTCCCATTACTTAATAATTTCCAAATTATAAGAAACATTTGGGAGTCAAAACGATATTTTTAAACCTTCCTCTTTGTTCAACGTATCAACGATATTATTACGAAAATAAAATAATAAATAATCTTGTAGCCCTCTGCCACTATGCGTCGAAAACTTGTTATTCCAATATATCCCTAAAAAGCAATCGTCGTATTTTAATACAGTAGGGTCTCGATAATCCGAATACTGGCTATAATCCGAAAGACACGGTAATCCTCTAGCTTGAGCAGTACCGAATCGCTATAAATATTATATTAACTGGCTGTATTTACACACACATACATAAATAATTATAATAATAAGTTTTTGTGTACATTGTTATACGTTGTGAACTACGAGTTTTTACTAGAGATGGGCCAAAAGTTTGAATCGATGTTCCGATGTATCTACATTTGAATTATTGATGTTGGTGGTCGATATTTACGACAAAAACATCGATGTTTACCTTAATAAGTTTTAAGAAAAATTGTATTTATGTTATATGTATGTATGTTACGTATAAATTGTAAAATGTTTGAAATAAATACGATATTTAAACATTGGACTTCAGATTAGAAAAAAATCAATTTTTTTTTCAATACATCGCAATAAAAACATTGATGTAGGGTTTCGATATATTGAACAAAACATAGATGTTTTTAAAAAATCGATGTATTTTACCCATCTCTAGTTTTTAAGTGATTGATTAAAATTGCAGATAAAAATAAATTTCATAATTTAAATTCGTATGAAGTCGATGTTTTTATTAAGCCATACATAATCCGAACAAATCGGTAATCCGAACGACCCCTTTCTCCGATCTCTTTCAAATTTTTCAAGTTTGAAATATGAAGAGATAGTATTGAATACCTAGTATCATTAATTATAGAATAGTATATTCTATTATCAATACTATTATTTAAGTCAAAATATATTAAGGATTTGTATAATTTTGTTAATTGTAAAATGTGTTATATTTTTATCTTGTAAACAAATAGCTGCAAATTAAAAAAAATATTTATCCATTTTTAATTATTAATTTCGATATATTAATTATACTATGATTTATTTATCTATTCATATTTATATTTCTACCTACTTCATTTTTAAGGCACCGCATCAGAAGTAAAATAATATACTTAAATTTATATAATTAAATAAAAAAAATTATATTATTTGAGGGGGTAACCATATCAAAAACTTTAAAAAAAATTACCAAACTTATCATTTTTCATAGCACTTATAATTTATACTTTTAATATTACTAATACTTTATCTTATAATATATTAACAAATGTTTGATTTTTCGCATATTTTTAAATTCTACAAAATAATTATTTATTGGTACTTTTTTTTTTTTATTGGAGAATTTCAACAAAAAATTACATCTCGATCATGATTGGGTTAGCAGGAAAAAATTAACTCCTTAAATTGGATTTATTTTCATGCAAATATTAGTTGTTGTGACTGGTATTCATAAAAAAATTTTTTTAACTTGATCTCGACAAAGAAAATTCATGTTATATCATACCTTCAAATCGATTAAAATTTCATGATTAAAATTCAGTTAAAATATAATAAATCAAAATATTATTTTTAAAATTTTTACTTTAGTAATTGTACTAAATAATAATTTTGAAGTCTACTATAACAATTTTAAACTTAAATCTATCGATAGCAATAATAAAAGTAAGTGATTCAAAATCATGTTTGAAAATCTTGGATACCCTCCCTCTCGGCACCACTACTATGTGCCCGGTGTATCGATATTCATTTTCTACATGAGCATTTTTTCCATTTACAGGCTTTGGTCATTGATTAGGAAAATAATTTCTAAATATGATGATATGACGTCGTCGTTGCCTTACAGAAGATTTGGAAACGAAAACTATTCGGACTGCCAACTGGAACTTCGTACGACAGTAAGACACAACATTTTTTTCGCATTAAAAATAATTTATTACATTCGCAAACTCGCTCGGTATTAAGTTAAATATTTATGTGATAACATTGGGAATACGACAAAGTATTATAAACAATTTGAACGTAGGTACAATCACCACCACTAGTAAAAATTCAAAAATTAACTCGCGGTTATCGTCTGATTTTCCTCCATGAATAATTGTTGTAAACAATATTATCAACATAAAAAAAATAATAAAAATGTATGTCCATTATTATCATAATAAGACAACAATAACAACAACAACAACAACAACACTAAAACAACACAACTGTACCACTGTATCCGTTGTTGAAACCCTATGTTAAAATATCGTATAAGAGCATCTAAAATATCTGTTCTTAGCGAAAAACGTTTTGACTTAACAAATGTGAGTTATTATGATAATATTTTTGTGAAATTATATGAATAATTTGATTTCAGAAAGAGATTAAAGTGTACAATATTGATGGTACATACCAATCAGTTTTAGTTACCCCAGAATTGTCGTCAGAAGAATTATGCTCTCAATTGAAGAAAAATATCCTCAGCGACTGTTTCGACTGGTCCATTGTTGAATTGTGGAAGGACGAAGGAATAGGTATTTTTACTTTATACTGCTCGCCTTGATTTATATACATTCAGTAATAAATGTGTTGCTGGTGTATTGTATTTTAGAGAGGACTTTGGAAAACCATGAATCAGTGTTAATGTGTTACGAACAGATGAAACATGAAAACAGAACTTTGGAGCTTAGAATAAGCAATAAAATGTTTGACATGTACAAGCATCCAGAAGTAAATTTTATTGTAACTATTTGTTATGTTTAGCGGGTGATAAGTCACTAGATCAAATGAATAGAACAATTATAACTTAGAAGTTCTGATAATAATTTATTCTTGTCAAGTGAATCATAGTCCGTTAAATTCTTATTTTATTAATTTGTACTAAATATCAATATTTCTATAGGAGTATTCTCTCTACAAATCTTTGGATTTCGATCACAAAAGAGAAGCCAAAGTAGCACAAGTAATATATTTTTAATTTATTAACTAATTTTAATAATTAAAAATTAATTATTTGTTTTTATATTAGCTTAATTTTCAATTGTAAATAAAAAGTAATCTTTTTTATATATCAATTTTTTTTACTAACCGAGAGGAAAAAAGTAGGGTTTAAAATGAAGGGTATAGAGTTTTACAATTTTTTTTAAATGCAATTTTAATGTATTTGTTCTTATCGTTCTCAAAACTACTCAAACCATTAATTCTGCAAAAAAAAAAAATCTACTTGTTTTGTATATTTGTTGATTACTACTTTTTTTTTCTTATTCAAGCATGGCTTTAAATATTTTTGTTTGTGTAAATTATGGTAGTGAATTGTCTTAAAATTAGAAATTAATTAGTAGTTAGGTTAAATAAGAGGACTAATATTAATCTGTCTTGGTTTTTAACTAAACATTCTAATTTTTATATATGTAAATTATAACCATTTTTTTTAATAACACATTTTTAATTCTAAATAATAAAAAAAAAAATTTTGGAGGAGGAAGGAAATAACCTAATCTGACCTTGACCTACCCACTGATAATGCAATTCATATTGAAATTGAAATTAACAATTTTTATTTGAAAAGAAAAACCTTTATTATTTAAAAAAAAAAAAACTATGTTAAATGTTAGAATTTCTAAATTAAATGTACTTTATTAATTTTTTATAATGTTTTACTATTCACCAATATTGTGACACTATAGTCCAGGGGTGACCAACAAGACTATATACACGTGCCACATGTATTAATAAGATTATATTAAGAGTCAAATTATCTAATCGGTTTTTTTTATATTACAAAAGTAATTAAGAAAGCTAACAGTCGATAAACTTATATATAATTATCTAAATAATTAAGTCAAAATATCGTTAAAATTTGACTAATGATCATCTCACAGAATTACTAAGAACTACTCTTACATCAATTCAACCAGATCTTAAGAAGCTTACTAAAAAAGTAGACATGAAAAAAATACCACGCAAACAAATTTAACTTTATGTTTAATTTTTTAATTTATTATTCATATAAATTAATTTTTTTTTTTTTAGTTTATTGATCTGTACACTATAGCCTTATATCTATGCAATAATTTTTTTTTTATAAATGTATACAAAAAAATTTAAATATTTTGGTTTTTGTAAATAAGACCGCGAGCTACATACGACTATGACGAAGGCCGCATGCGTTTCGCGAGCCGCAATTTGGACACCCCTACTATAGCCCATCATTTAGTGTTATTAGGCTTATATTATATCAAATTTATAATAATTAATTATTAATTTCAGACCTTACTGAATCTATTATTTTATAATTAATACTTCGGGAACAATAAATAAATTATAAATATACATAAATAATATAAATTTATTTGATAATTTTGTAAGGTCATAAATTAAAAATTCTGTCAATAAAAATATTTTCTATTTTTTGTCTGTTTTGTTGTTGTTGTGCTTATAACTTTCTAACATTAAACTTACAATTTTAATTTTTTTTTAAATAATCTAAGACTTATGGATATCAACATATATTTTTATCATTATTATTCCAATCTTATTGCATTGTTTATTCTTCATCAGTTTGTAAATTTTCTGATTGTTTGCCAAGTATAGAGTATCAATTGGTTAAGTTTAATTATTTGCTGTTGGTTTTTTCTTTTATTATGCAATTATTTTAAATAATATAATTTCACTTATATAAAAATAAGTTATGTTTTTCTCAAATTATTTATTATTCATTTTAATTACTAATTTTTATAAGTAATTATTTTTAAGACTTAATATTGAAGCAAATTTGTTCTATATATTTATTATTAATTTTAAAATGTATATTAAACATTGTATACCTATGTACACTCTCTGCTTGAAAGGGCGTAATAAAAATAATAAAAAAAAATATTAATAATAAAAATTTGTATTCCTAAACAATATGAATTAACTTATACTCCTACTAAAATATAATAATAATATATAATTATATAAATATTATTTTGATTTCTTTAACTGCTATAGTTCTTTAGCCTAAAATTATATTTTATTCACAATTCATGTTTCTAAATATTTTTGAATTACAAAATAATTATATATATATATATATATTAAGAATAAATACAATTTGTAAATTAATTTATGATACAGATCTTCTAATTCTAATGGTACAATTTTTTTTAAGACTCAAAAAAAATGAATTAAAAGCTTATCTTATTTTTTATGTTTGTTTAATAATAAAGTTATTAGTATAATTTTTTATTAAAATTAAATATTTTCAAAATATTTTATTTATAAGTATAAAATCTTTAATTTATAATTATTTTAATAAATAGTTGCTCTTAATATTGATAGGACCTAGTATAATGTAAGAAAGTGAGTAAATTTTAATTTTGATTTTATTTTCCTAAAAAATTTGGCAAAAGTTTTCTTTTAGCTTTTATTTAATTTTAAGTCATTTTAAATAAATAGAAAATAACAAAACATAAATAAATCAGTTATTCGTTGTATTACAAAATAATATAATATTGTTTTTGTGTCTTATTCATAGAAAGTACTTGATGGTGACATTGATCCACTACATTTTGGCCAAGTATGGATATATGAGTGCAATAAATTAGATCCCTCTTGGGAAGTAACAATTTTATTGCTCAAGGATAAAAAACTTTATCTTTCACCTAATGTAAGTATTTAAAATTCATTAGTAAATAACTAACAATTACAGATTGTATAATAATAACTGTATAGTCTATGAATTCAATTTGGTTTATGATTTTGCAGCATCAAAATATACTAACATTTATTAAAAAAACTGAGAATGGCTGCTTTCGTAATAATAAATCGGTAAGAGAATTATCAATTTAATAATATAATATTTATAGTATTATAAGTATCTAGTTAGATAATGCAAAATTAATTTTATTTTCAAACTATCATTAATTTAATTTTGGGTTTAGCTGGGGAGTTGCCATTTTATTGTGAATATCTATCCAACTGTAACTGACTGTGATGTTTCTCAATGTCGTTTAAATAATGAGATTTTAAATAAAAAATAAAATAAAATTTTTGAATGTACAATATCTGTATGGCGAGATTTGGCAACAGGCTGAGATATACATAAGATAATAAGATACATAAAATATTTATTTAATTTTGTTTTTATGGTTTTGAAATTGATTTTTCTAATTGATTAAATTTAATAAGCTCATCAAATTAAATTTTTAGGTTATAGTACATAATTATTTAATTTGCCATTTAAAATATTTAATTTGTTATCTCTTTTCAAATAATTTAAAAGTTTTAAATTACTTAATTGATTATCATTTATTTATTATTTTTCCATTCTGTAATTCTTCATTTATATTTCATTATCCATAGTTAATATCTGATATATTGATATCTATATGTTTTTTTAAATTTTACTGATACCAAAATCATTGTTTTATTAGATTTTTATTAAATACGATAAATTTTAAACAAAAATAGTACTTAATAAAATACTACTTTAAAAGATATTGTATGAACAAATATTATAGAACATTTTGATCATCATTTAGTATATATCTACTATTATGAGCATAATTAAAAATGTCAATATTAAGTACCTAATGATTTAAAAACTAATTCTGATTACAATTTTAATATCTTCGACAGTTTAACAATTTCTAAATGGCATAAATCTATAAATATATTTATAGACTTACCAGTTTTTTTTTTATAGTCTATAATATAGTTGACACTTTCCTAGACTATCCTATGTATCATAAATAGCTCTTAAAGACTAGTGAGTTTTTCTAGGTTGTCCACAATCGAAAAAAAAAAAAAAAAAAAAATCCACTGATCAAAAATATATTTTATATACATGTTTTAGTATATTTTTCATTAATTTATATCAACGTGATATTTAATATGGATTATCCATTAAATTACGTACAAATAGCTACTCGATCTCAGTATTAAATAGGTAAGGTAAGGTTAGGCCATCTCTGTTACATATCATAGTATATAGACTATATTTTATAATGATTATTAATTTTGATTTTATTGATTATAAATTAAAAAGTATATTTAAATTTCATTAAATTTAATAATTCAACATAGTTTAATAATTTTATAATTATACTACACACTTCATATCAGTGCTTATTCATATTGCAAACTTTATAATATTTTAATTTCTATTATTGTTTATAAAATAATTTAATATCTACTCAAACCAAAAAATAAGTATTTTTTATTAATTTTGTGTAATAGGATTAAATAATTTATTATTTTTTAACCAACATCATATGATGTTAATAAATGTAGTAATTTATATTAATGATGGGACGAACTCTGATTTTTTAAATCGAACCGAACTTTATAATATTTTTATAATCTGAACTTAATCAAACCTTTATAATTTTTTACTGAACCCAACCGAATCTAAAAAATTAAAGTCAAACTCAAATTTCTTTTCAATAAATTGAAAAATGAAACGGCTAAACAGTACCTAGCCATCATTTAGAGCAAGTCAACCGTTTTTTTTTTTTTTGTATTTAAACATTGTGTTACAAAGGTCAACCGTTAAATGTGTAAAACTGCAATCATATAATACAAAAATTCACAATACATTGAAATATGAAATGTAAACATGTTTTTATCAGCAAAACCGCCGCGGAAGCGGAATAATTCTATAGGTTTGTATAAAAATATAAATCAATATTGTTATACATGATCTTCAATATCTAGTTATTGTTAATAACACCAAAAGGTTTATAATTTTTAAAAATAACTTTAGAAAAATTGTAAAAACTGTTTTTCAAAAATTAAATATTAGGTCTTCTATCATCTTGACCAGTAAGTCAGGTTCAACAAATATTTACTATTATTGTTCAAATTTCGAACCGGACCTAAATGTCAAGGGTATTTGTATTATTCTTCAATTCTTAAATTAAATAATGTATGTTGCACTTACATAATTAACATAATGTTTTATTATTAATATTATATTAATATAAGCTTCATTGAACATTGAATTGAATTAACAGTAACTCTTAATAATTTATAATCTTAAACAATTAATACTTATCGTTGATAATTTTCTTTATTTTATTTTAATGCATAATATAGCGAATGGTATAATATAATGTGCAATCCAATTTTTAATGTTTATAAAATATATATCAATGGGAATTATTTATAAATCAAGATTTATACAGTCGACTCTCGGTAACTCGAACCTTGATAACACGAAATTCTCGATATCTCCAATAATTAAAATTCCCCTTTAAATAAAAGTAACACTTAATGTTTAAATAATATTGTTAACTCGAAAATTAATATGACAAGTTTTCGTATCTTGAATTTTCTTATCCAAATTCAGTACTAAAAATTGTTTATCAAGGCGATTATTTTTCTTATGACTTATTATTTTTTAAATTTTTACCTGAAAAAACATTCATGTTTAAAGGTTAATCTTGTACAGGTGGAAAACAAAGCAAAGAAAGAGTAACACTTTTGTTAGGGGCAAATATGTCGGACACAGAAAAAATTAAGACCGTTTTTGATTGATAAGTCGAAAAAAACCAAGATGTTTTAAACAAGTAAAATTACCATTAAATTATTATGCGAACAAAAAATCCTGGATGACATCTGAAATTTTTAAATTGTGGTTAACGAAATTAAATAAAAAAAATGGTCACTGAATAAAGGAAAATCTTACTTATTATTGATAATTGTACTGCAAAAATTTAACTTCAACTTTTAACGCTATTCAAGTGCAGTTTGTATATCCTAATACTACGTTTGTATTACAACCATTAAACCAAGGCATAATAAATAATTTTAAAATATTTTTCCGAAATTATTTATTTAAACCACTAGGTATTTTTAGGAAATAAAATTATTATATATTCATACATAATATGTAGGAATGTAAGAAAATATATTTTTTTATTTCTTTAGTGTAAAAATTATTTAAAAATAAAAACATACTTTCTAAAAGTTTTTGATAACCTGAAATTTTTAGTGAGTCGAATTTTTATTTTTCCCCTTGAACTTCGAGTTACCAAGAGTTGACTGAATACTTAATCTGATTTCCAGTTGTTAAAATAAAATTTAATTTATGTTAAATGTTGTAAAATTTTATTCAGATCAAACTTAAAAAAAAAAAGAAATTTTAAATTTTTTTTTACTTCAAATATTATCAGCTGTTGAATTGGTAAAATGTATGTGGAAAAATTTTATTATTAAGTTTTTCGTAAAGTTATTTTTCCTTATTTTCAGTGACTAATAATTTATTGTATTAAATTAGAGACTGTCTTTAAATGTTCAAATGTGAACAAATAACAAACCATATGATTAGTTTTACTATTTATTTTACTATTCGTTTTGAAAAAAATAGTTGCCTAAATAAATGTCATATTAATCTTCTTAGGTGGTAAATAGTGCAAGTAATCTTTTTCTGGTTTTTGGCAATCTAACTGCTATCTGCATATACACTCGAAAATAACCTACTTGTGTAAATTGGTAATGACAAGGAAATAGGAATGTTTGCTGGATCTCTTGACAACGTCAGAAAATCCAACGGTAGGAAAAGTGAAAGATAACTTGGGTTCATGCCACGAGTTATGGCCTTAAAATTCGGTCAATAACTATCAGTGTACAATAATAATAATAGTAATAATATATCTTCGAAATAGTTGGCAACAGCGTACGCGAACCAGAACCGAAACATAATTTTTGATTGACACATTGCTAATGGTGAGACGTTGTCAAATTGCACGCAGATCCGTATACTTCTATGTGTAAAAGTGTTACATTGTTACATACGAGTGTATATAGATGTGAGGTACATAAAAAAAGCGATTCCCAAACTCTTTCAGCTACGGAGCCTTTTTTTAAGGAGCGTTTTTTCGTGGAATCCCAAGTAATATTTAGCACTAAGTTTTATTTGCCTGTGTTCTACAAAGCATATTACACATGATGTTTTTATATAGAAGGAAACTCAAATCGAGATAGTTTACATTTAATTTTTTATTTATATATAATATATCTATCCAGGAAATAACTGGAATGGAAATGCTTATAATCTAAACTTAAAAAATTATATTTTCCTATCAGGTTTTAATATTATTTGTATACTCATCTGTGAATTATATTTGAATTAACGGAGTCTTGTAAAAATATAACGCTCTTTGTTTTAAATAACGATCAATAATTTTTACGTTATTATATTTTCTGAGGTAAAGCAAACGGAGCCCTTGAGGAACAATTACATAGCCCTAAGGGCTCCGTGGAGCACAGTTTGAGAAAGCTGCTTTAGAAAATAGATGCGTTCGATGAAATTAAAAATAACCGTTATTAATTATAACTATTTTTAAGAATATAACGAAATATCAGCGGCTTAATATTCTATGTAGATTTATAATCAACAGTATATATTTAAGGCGTTCGTATTTTCAGTTATTTATCTATTTTGTGTATAATAATAGCTGTTTCGTAGTATGCCTATTAATCACTTGGTATTATGATTTGAATACCAAAAAATAAATTTTTTCGTGAGAACTTTTTGAAGTAAATGATGCCGATGGGCAATGGCGTTTATTGTTACGAACATTTGGATTGATTATTTGATTGTTATTAATAACTATGATTGTCTCGGTTTTCTCGTCCTTGAATTTACTTGAATTTTCCTAAATAAAAATAAAGAATAAAAAATTTTTTTTTAGTTTTGTTTGTCGTAAAGGTCATTTGGTTGGCAGTATATTACGCAGACATCAATATTTTGTACGGTTAACTAGGGAAACCAAAACCGTCAACTTCCTAATACAATAGCTATTGATTCCAAGACTGCTCCTTTT